AGGGAGGGTCTCAAGGGGTGAGTGGCAATTTGTCAATTTGAGAGGGGTGGTGGGAAGGATGTTTTTGGCAGAAGGAATGGCATGTGCAAAGAAACTGAGTCTTGAAAGGTGATGCTCTGTTTGAGAAAGGGTGAGGATTTTGGCATGCTTGGGGCTTAGGCTCTGGGGTGTATGTCTGAGTGTGTGTGTGTATGTGTAGGGTGTGGCTGGTGAGGGTGGTAGGAGATAAACCCAGAGAGGAAGTGGGGGTCAGATTGTGAGGACTTGGGTGTGCTGAGTGAGGGCCACTGGTATTTGTCCTTTAGAGACTATCTTTTGGACTTTAGCATGGTGAGTCTGAACAGGGCCCTGGCATTATTACTGAATTTCTCCATGCCTCAGTTTCCTCATGTAGAAAATGGTACAACAGTAGTCCTCACCTCATAGGGTTGTTTTAGGAAATTTAATGAGATAAGGCCTTTAAGCCGTTAGACCAGCATCTGGTCTACGCACCTTACTACTGTGTAGTAAGGATTCGATCAACATTAGCTTCTACTGTTGGGCAAAGAGAACTGATAAAGGTAGTTTTTTGCCTGAGGAGTGAGACTATTCGATCTGCCTTTGAGTGAGACACTCTGATCACTTTGTGGAGGGTGGACTGGCCATCTGTCTTGGAGCATATTTGTCCACTGAGAGAAAGGAATCAGTGGATGGGGAGATGCACAAAGGAAAAATTACACACACTTACTGGCTGACTGAGCTATTTTTAGCCTACTGTGTCTGAAGCAAAGGATGGATTTTCACGGCATTTTTTTAAGATGCAAAATTACCGTAAGCCAAGGTTATGTAACTTGCCCAAGGACACTTCATTTGTTCACCAGTGAGGCTCGTGGTGTGGTCCATGAAACTTTCAGCAGCCATTTTAGAGGGTGGGTCCCTGGGGTCTCTAGGCCTGAATGTTCCTCCTGACTTGACAGAATTGGGAAACCGGAAGGGATGTGCTGTGGCTTCTGGGAAAACTCCCTTAGCTGGCAGCCAGTCTGGCACCAGGGCCCCAAAGTGACGTGGCAGTGAGTCAAATGAGAAGGTTGAGTGGGGGAGAGAAGACAGAGAGGGTTGACATCTATCCCATGTGGGCCGTGTAACAAGAGTCTCTGAGACTCAGTTTCCACGGTGGTAGACTGGGAACAGCAATATACACCATCAGAGGACCGTCTTGAACACCAAATGAGACCGTGGAGGTCAATTGCCAAGACCAGGGTGCTATTGAGTAGTGGCTCTGCCCTTCCCTACGGGGTGCCTAATGTCACATCGCGGGCCCACAGACTTCTGTTCATTTCAGTGGGTGTTTCCTGAACTCTTCTTGTACCTTCTTTGCTCCCTACACTTGAGCCTGTGGCCTTGGATAAATCTTTCCCTTTCCTGAGCCTGTTTCCTCTTCTGACGGCTCTGGATTGGAAGAGATATGAACAACAAGACTCTCGTTGGCCCCCGAATCTCTGATTCCCATTAGGTGGACTGTTCGTTTCTGTTTTTAATCTACCACGTCAAAAATGAAATCAAGGTGAATCACGTGTTGTTGACTCCCTCTGCCGAGCCTCTTGCTCTTTTCCTCCCACCTTCTTTGGTGAGGGGATCTCGCTGAGTCATAGCGTCTTGCTTTTCTACACAAACTGGCTGGAGCTGGAGGACCAAACTTCTCCTAGAAACGCTCTGTGCACCATTGTCATAAAACCTACACATGAAAGAAGGCCCAGGGATTGTTTTTTCCGACCATCCTAAAAGAACCTCAAAATGCAAATGCAGGATGTACTAAAATTACAGAGTTCAGTGGGTGCCCGGTACCACCGGTTATTTTTTTTAGAAAGGTTAAAATTCACCTGAACCAAGACTAAAAAATAAGCTTAAGGTGTTAGGGTATTCCGAAAAGACTGTTAATGCCTGTTGGCTAAGTGCATTAAACTGCTTTGAAATGATCACTTGTGTGTATACTATTTTAAAAGCTGCTTGCTGGGATAGTGATTTAAACCTATTTTTTCCCAGACTCAAAACTTTGCATTTGTCTGTTGAGAAAAGTACCGTATTTGAAACAAATAAACATTAAAATATAGTTTATTGTACATCCAGACATTTGTCTGAAATAAAAATATGTCAAGACATTTATAGTTAGAAACTGAAATCTCTGCCTTAACTCAGTCCATTGTATTTTCAAGGAGCCCAACCATATATAATATTACCAGGTCCCTGGAGACCTCCTGGAAGGGATACCAGATACTCTGGGTATAACGGGAGAATGGGGGAGGTGGGGAGAGAACGGATGGGGCATGGTTTCCAGTCCCAATTCTATATTTCCTGTGATTTTTTTTTTTTTTTATGGAGGCAGGGGAAAAGGCGAGAAGAAAGAACTCGGCTGTTACTTTTATTATAGCTTTGATTTGAAAACCGTTTAAGAAGTAGCATTGACTGTGGCACCCCGTGGTGTCTATGATGAGATTGGATTGGCTCATTCATTCCTCAGTAACTTATTGAGTGTTTTTATTATGTGCTCAGTGATGGAAGACTATAAGAAACCCTGCCCTCAGGATGCTCACAACCTAATGGGGAAGACAGCCAGCTAGATATCTACTTATGGTGAAGGGTGACAATTGTCATGATGGGTGAGGCCAGGCTGCTGAGAGAGCCAGGATGGAAGTTATCCAGCAGGCATTGTGGTATTGAGACACACACACACACACACACACACACACACTTGTACTCTAAGTTGCTTATGTTGTGTAGTAAATTGTGACCCAATTATTCATATTTTTAATCTAGGGAGCTGCTAACTTTTTATGATGCTGCACATCTGGTGATCTTTAGAGGAACAAAGCTGCTCAAACATCCAAAAACGGAGAAAGAAAGCCATGTAGCATTAATGCCCCAGTGATGGCCACAACCAGGTCCCTTAATCTATTGTAATCTAGACCTTGGGTGAGGGAGAAAGAAAAAAGGCAACTTCTCTAAGCCTGCTTAAAAGCCTAGATTGGCAAAAACAACCATTTTTTTCCCCTAAGCCATGAGAAATTGTCTGAATATAAGGTAGAAGATTTTATCTTTACCGAGGAGTTGAACATAGTAATTTTTGTGAAACTTCCAGGTTGTTACTGAATCTTAAAAAAAAAAAAAATCCCCGTCCTCCAACTATGATATGTAGCTAGACAATACTGAGAGAAGTTTAGGAAGAAAACAGATCATGCAAAGCCTTGAATGGTTAGGAATCCATAAAGCTGAAGGCAGGGGACTGGATGAGAATGAAGCAGAATCTCAAAAATTCAAGAGCAGGAACAATGATAATGACACTGTACATTTATTGAGTGTTTACTGCATGCCAGTCTGACAGCAATGCATTACATCATTGTCTCAATTAAGCCGCACGCCAGTGCGGTGAGTAGTATCATGACCTCCATTTTTCAGATGAGAGACTGAAGCTGAGAGAGGCTTAGTAATTATGGGTGAGCAAGAGTCACAGTGTGGCTTGAACCTAGGTGTGCCCAAATTCAGAGCTGATCTTCACCCCTCAATTTTACTGACTCTCCAGAGTGTGCCACTTCACAGCTGAAGAAACTGAGGCCTCTGGAAGTTAAAGCAGGCCTCAGGTCATAGCAACAACTGCAGCCTTATCAGTGGTTGACGACTTTGTCTTTGGTTCCTCAGTGGGAACCAGCACGTGTACACTGAGAATCCACTGTGAGTGTCACGTCACTGTGGCCCGCTTGAGGTCAGGGACCATGCCTGGCTCATCTTTGTATCAGCAGCACAGAACACAGGGTCAGGTGCAGAAGAGATCCCTAGACCTTTCTTGACTGAATGAAGAATATGAGAGAAGTAGCAGGCCTGGAAGTTTAAACATAGCTTACCGTAAGCTCCACACAGACAAGTATAGTGTCTGTCTTTCCAGGCATGGCAGCCTATAGGACGTGTTCATGAGAATGGGTAAAAGGTGCTCCCTCTGCGTGAGCCTATGGCCCTTTTGTGCAAAGGAAAGCTTTCTGATCTTCCTGGGAGATACTAGCTCCAAAGGACTTAGCAAAATGTTTGGGTTTCAGCCCCCTCCTCCAATTCCCTTGGCCAGCTGCCATTTTGCAGCGTGGAACGCCCAACTGTACAAGGAGGCCTATTTATTTAATTTAGTCATTCAGAATCTAACACATGACCTAGAATCTGATTGATATTCACTAAATATCAATAGAATACATGAAGAGGTTTTTTTTTTTTTTTTTTTTTGAGGAAGATCAGCCCTGCGCTAACATCCATGCCAATCCTCATCTTTTTGTTGAGGAAGACCGGCCCTGAGCTAACATCTATTGCCAATGCTCCTCCTTGTTTTTTTCCCTTTTTCTCCCCAAAGCCCCAGTAGATAGTTGTTTGTCATAGTTGCACACCCTTCTAGTTGCTGTATGTGGGACGCCGCCTCAGTATGGTTGGACAAGTGGTGCGTTGGTATGAGCCCAGGATCTGAACCTGGGCCGCCAGTAGCGGAGTGCATGCACTTAACCGCTAAGCCATGGGGCCGGCCCTGAATACATGAAGAGTTTTTTTTTTTTCATAATTTTACTTATTTATTTTTTCCCCCATAGCCCAGTAGATAGTTGTAGGTCATAGCTGCACATCCTTCCAGTCGCTGTACGTGGGATGCGGCCTCAGCGTGGCCGGAGAAGCAGCACATCGGTGCACGCCCGGGATCCGAACCCGGGCGGCCAGCAGCGGAGCGTGCGCACTTAACCATTAAGCCACGGGGCTGGCCCCATGAAGAATTTTAAAGGCCAGTGCTAAATTGTCTTCTGTCATTAGATTACAATGAACACAGTAGAGTGTTTGGTCCATGCATCACGGAGAAGGCTGAAATTGAATTGGTCCTATAAGGGGTTATAGGACATGGATTTCTTGGGGAAGAAGAAGGACTCCCCCGTTGGAGGGAAAAAAGGCCTCAGATGCCACCAAGAAAGCAGGTGTGGGGGATGAATAGGATGTGGTTGGCTGACCTCTGCTCAGGGAAGTCTCCGCAGGTGTGAAGAGAGTTGCCTATGAAGGAGGCACCATTCTCGTTGTGTTCCATGCTCGGGCCCCATGTCCATAGAATACTGTGTTAATGGGACTTCATGGAGTTATTAAATCGGCTTCCTGTTTCTGGGGGAGACACATTCCTTCTCTACCCCCTCCGTATTAGTCAGAGTTCTCCAGAGAAACAGAACCAATAAGATATATATATATACAAGCTGGAGATCCGGGAATATAGGCAGTGTAGTTTGAAGGCCTGAGAGCCAGAGGGCCGATGGTATAGATTCTAGTCCCGATCTGGAGGCCTGAGAACCAGGAACACTGAGGGCAGAACATCAATATCCCAGCTCAAGCAGACAAGCAGAGTTAATTCAATCTTCGTCTGCCTCTTTGTTCTATTCAGGCCCTCAACTGATTGGATGAGGCCCATCACATTGGGGAGGCCACCTGCTTTACTTGGTCCACCTATTCAAATGTTAATCTCTTCTGGAAACATCTCACAGACACACCCAGAAATAATGTTTAAACAGATATCTGGGCATCCCATGGCCCAGTCAAGTTGAATATATAATATTAACACAGTATTAACCATCACACTCTTCCCTGACAAAATTCTGCCTTCTCGGGTATAACAGAGGGTGATGTTGGAGGTCCTTGAATGCTTGGCTAAGGAGGTTAGAAATGACTTTGTAGCAACAGGGAACCATTATATGGCCTTGAGAAGATCCATCAAAATCTTACTTGTTCTCTCATTTGGTGCATCAATATTGAGCAGGGGCCAGGTGTCTAGCATACAGTAGTGCAAAAAAACAGACGTGGGCCTTCTAGGAAACTTACAACCACGTAAGGGAGATACACCGCAATTCAATAATCATACTAATTAGTATATAGTTATAATGGATAATATGTGCACTATATAACACAATGTGACAAATGCACTAGATGAATCAAGCATGTTTCTATGAAAGCATAAAAGAAAGAAACATGGCCTACATTCGTGGAGTAGTGGTCAGGAAAGACTTCTTTGAGGAAGTGAAGTTTTAGGAGAGATTTAAGGGACAAATGAGATTTACCTAGAAAAATGGGACATGGGGTGACAAGATGGCATTCTAAAAGAGGAGCAGCAGGTGCAAAGGCCCTGTGATGGGTGGGCCAGGTTGTCTGGAGTGCAGAGAGCAGGGAGGAGGTGTAAGAAAGAGCAATCTGAGTTTGAAGAGATGTGTTTGAATGTGGATAGGCCATATTGAAGATTTTGGCTTTTTTAAAAAAATCATTTTAAGAGCAATGGGAAGTTTGCTCCTTTGGTGGAGGTTTGAAAGAAGGTACATCACTGGAATAGCATTTTGAAACATCACTCAGGTTGCTGAGCTAAGAATGGTTTGGAAGGATTTAGTAGCAGATGCAAGAAGACAAGTTAGAGAAGGATGTTAGAGTTTTCCAGGCCAAAGACGACAATGAATTGGATCGACCTGGAGCTCATAAGGGGAGACAGATGAGCATGGACGGGGCAGTGCGTGGTGATGGATTGGCTATGGAGGGCGTTGGGCGGGAGGGGTCTAGGGTTACTGGATTAAGAGCAGGGACTCTTCTCAGGCTTCATCTCTGCCCGTTGTTGTCAACAGCGCGTACTGTGTCCTCAAGCCCAAATCAGTGCGGGGTTTAATGATGTCCACTCTACCTGTTTCCCAGAATCCACTTGAACCGCTGTAACAGCATGTCCTCTGTGTCCATCAGTTCTGTCAAACTCCTTCGTAGCCTTCTCCACCTCCCCCAAGCTGTGCATCTCCCCAGCCCCTTCCCCTGACTTTTGATTAACTTCTACTTTCACAACATCTTCATACTTACCAATTTGTTCAACACCCTTTTTATTTTTTTAAAGCAAAGATTGATTAGGAATTCATTCTCTTCCCCACTTTTGAGTCTCATTATTTTCCTGTTTCCTCTTGGTTATTAGTGGTTCTGTTTTCTTTTAAGTGCCTCTTGTCTTTGAAAAGCTCTTGTGATTCACTTAAGCCCATTTGCCATTTTGTGGGCCTGTCTTCCTTTCCCTAGAAGCCTTAAGTATGGCATTATCGTTTTCTTTCATCCCCTCTCCCCTTCAGGTACAACTATAGGCACTTCGCTACTCTAGGATTGCTAAGCCGTGTCTGACACAACATAGAAGCTCAATAAATATTGGTTAAATTTGTGCCTTTTATTGAATGTGCAGACTTTGATGGAACCACTTAAAATGCTTCTTGTACAAGTTATCTTTTATATCTATGTAAGTATGTGTATGGCTATCTGAATCCAGGCTTTCCCTGGGGAGACTCAGAAAAGAATTTATTCCTCTGTGACTTTCCGGCAGTGAGGTGGATTTTCACCATGCCTGTGGGAATGCCTCAAAAGTGTTGGATGCTCATCATAAATGTATGTCAGTTCGATCAGTTCTTAGTGATGCATTTTCTGTCCCAATGAGTTGCTAGATGACTTTTCATGTTTTTGCATAATGATTATGGGTCTCAGTTTTTATATATCTTAAGTAACAATAATCAGGGAATCAAAAAAACTTAGGGACATTTGGAGAGTATGCATTCATTCTACTTATGGAAACCATGCTAGATTCCAAAGATGCAAAGATGAGGAAGACTGGGAATAAGGAGGAAAATAGGATGACTGTCTGCAAAGAGTACGTTGAAGCTCCAGTTCAAAGTCCAAGGATTGTTTGCCCTGGATTGAAGCTAGTCCCTAAAGTGAGGTCATTTCTTTCTTCAAACCATGTCTGTTAATGTTAAAGATAAAAGGAGGTAATAGATGAAAGTGTTTTGAATAAATAAAATGACTTTACACGTTCTACATTGGAAAATTATCATTGAACCAGTGGTTACAAGGATCATACAATGGATGGGGCGTTTGGTTAGTGGAAGGAGATTTTTGAGGATAGATGGAAATAGTTATTTCTGGAAATAGCCTGTTGTTTGCTGATTACTGTTAGTTGGCGTCAGTCTAATGCCTTTTCCCCTAGTGTACCTAGAGATTTGTGATGGAATTATCTATGCAAATTGAATACTTTAAAAAAACCCTCCACAAACCTGTATGTTATATTTATAAACTTTACATTGTACTAAAGTCAGCAAATGTCACAGAATTAAAACCAGTAAATGCAAAAGTGAAGGTTTCCATAGCAACAGTAACTAACCCATATTGCATGTAAAAGGGAATGTACATTAGGATTTACATTTAATCGTCTATTAGTAGAGAAAAATATGATATAGAACAGGTGCAATATGGATACGTTCGGGTGACCCTGGCAGCTCTTTATCTTTTAAACTTCAGGCTTTAGCTGCTGTAACTCTTTGGTGTTACCAAATTTCGACTCCTTTAAGGAAAACGAGGTAGGAAACATTAAAGGCAACGTTAGAGCAGAGGTGTGCACCCCTAGATTTAAATGCAGCAGAACATCATTCTTGCATAAATTATCAATCAACTCGATAGGTGTTTCAGAGAAAGAAATAGATCCAGAATACTAAACGTTTGTGAAATTGTTGCACATAGGGTAGAGTTTCTATCTCCATAGCCAGCTTAGCCAAACCTTCAGTGCCTCTGAAACATGGTAATGCAAGATGATTTTGTGGCTTTGAGTTGGTTGTGTAAAGCCCCAATAAAAGGGTGGCAGGAGTGGAGGCAAAGGCGTGGGTCATAGCCCCAGCCCACCACTTCTGTGCATCTGACCTCCCTTGCTGAACTTCGTTTTCCTCCTATAATGCTTCTCTACCTGTTACCGACAGTTGATTCTTTGGTTCTTGGTGTCTCAAATCAGAGTGGGAGGAGGATGCGGGTACTTTGTAGTACCCCTCTATATGGTCCATGGCATTGCTAGAGTGTGAGCTGCTTTCTTAAGGCAAGCACCAGCCTTTGACTGTCTTCCCTGGAGACAGCCTGTCTTTGGCTGTGGGCTTTCATAACAGGATGTCTCCTTGCTCTGCAGGCCCTCCTGGCCCCTCTGGTAGAGAGCTCTGAGTCATTGCTGATAAACAGTTAGGCCTCCTCCATATCAGTCTAGATCAGGAGATGGCTCTAGATAGAGACTCTGTTATTGGACAAAATTTTCTTTTATAACATTGGAAGAAATGTTGGTACTGACTAAACATGTGATTCACTCTAAAATACAGTTGATTTTTAAAAATAACTTTAAGTAAAATCAATCATAAGTGTTTCCCCCTTAAACTTTAATGGTCTTTAGTATTCCTTGGTTTTAGTCTCAAACTCTGTTACAGTAGGTCTGTGGTAGGGCACAGGATCTGCTTTTTATCAGGTAACCATGGTAATTTCTAAAAACTTATTTTTAAATCGATCAATAATTTTGTATAGCTTAAGGTATTAGAATGAAGTTATCTGGCTATGACCAAGATCAGAATTTTGCCACCAGCCCAGAAGCCCTGACTTGGTCACAACCCCTTTTCTTGTGTAGTATTAATGGACTTGGTTGATATTAACTTTCTGGTGTTTTCTCTATCAGTTTCAGCTGCTATTTTCGAATTGGCCTGCCTCACTTTCCAATGAATACCTGTTGGCTATTTTTGGTTCACTTAGTTTCTGGTCCCTCAGACAAGCCATAGCTTCCTTCTGCTTCTAAAATCCTGCCCAGACTCATAGCATGCATGTCTTGTGGCTGTCGGTGATCTGTCCCACCTGCTGTGTCTTGGAGTTCATGTCACCTTTTCTTATCACATAGAATTTCTATTTTATAGTTTTTGAAAAAGCTCTTTCAGACTTTGAGATTCTTCTAATCCAATATCACTCTTGTGCCTACATAAACAGGAATATAAATGAAATAAATTGGTTAGGTATTCTTAAAACTTTTCATATTCAGGGTCTAACTTTTCAGAATTATTCTTTGACACATAGCTGCCAAGGATTTTCCATGTTGTATAATCTCTGTGCCATCAAAAACGTTAGTGAGACAGCTTTCTTCAGAATAACATATTAAAAAAAAAAGCCATCGGCGCTGGGCTCCGAGCAGGCTTTGCATTGTGTAGGGCTTGCCTAATTTGGAATTCAATTTTTAGGAATATAACTAATCTTGGATGCACAATCTCCCTGACTCTTACCTTCAACCACTTGACTCTGAGCGTTTGAGTGATCCATTTTTGTCTCCCATTTTCTTCCAAGTCATTCACACTCATTCTGCAAATTATAATGCTTCTGTTTTTAATATTTGCACATATGCAATGACAATGATGGCTTGACAGGATGGTAAATTAGAATCTTTTTGTAAAACGTTGGAATGTCACAGCTCAGAGCCATTGATATTGGGAAAAATGTGCATGTTAGAATTAATAAAATTATATATAGGTATAGATATTTGAAATTTTATTGTGCTTATTGTTTTGTAACCTGCTTTCTCACCTTAAAATATATATTAAACATCTTTTCATTAAATGTGATATAAAACTGGTCTTTAAGATCTGCATATTTTCCACACTATGCATTACCATTATATATGTAATCAATGCTTTTTGTTCTTGTCACCTAATTTTGTTGCAAATTTTTTCTATAGGTTTTTGGTTTTGCACAACTCTGGTTTATGTGGGGAGTTGGAGATATTTAGAAATGATGCTGTCATTGTTCGTAACAGTCAAAAAGCAAAAATAACCTAAATATCCGTTAATTGTGAATGGATAAGCAAAATGTGGTATATCCACACAATGGAATACTTTTAAGCCATTAAAAGGAATGAAATTCTAATACATGCCACAGTATGGCTGAACCTTAAAAATATTATGCTAAATAAAAAGTCTATCACAAAAGACGACATATTGTGTGATTATGTGGGTGAGGAGGGTGGGAACAGGAGCTCCTGCAATGAGCACGGGGGAAATGTGCTGAAACTGTGATGATGATTGTACAACTTGGTAAATTTACTAAAAATGAAAACGTGAATTTTATGGCTTGTATATTATACCTCAATAAAATCATTACAAAAAACCTATTCTGCAACCACTGCTGTTTTCCCAGAATATTAAGTTTTAAGACTAAACATTTGCTAAATATTATAAAATATAAAATAATGTTAAAATATTATTTGTTTTAGAAAACTTTAGAATTCAAGTAATTTGCTTTTTGTTTATTTATTTTCTTTAAGTCATAAGGTAGAGTGTAGAAAGCTTAAAGGTGAAGAGCATGTTTTGTTATAAAATCTCCAGATGATGGGCCGGGTCCGTGGCTTAGTGGTTAAGCGCACGCGCTCCGCTGCTGGCGGCCCGGGTTCGGACCCCAGGCGCACACCGACGCGCCGCATCTCCGGCCATGCTGAGGTCGCGTCCCACATACAGCAACTGCAGCTATGACATACAACTATCTACTGGGGCTTTGGGGAAAAAACAAATAAATAAATAAAATTATTAAAAAAAAAAATCTCCCCATGAATAAAGAACATTAACACCACCAGGTTGACCCACAAGCCACATGTCAGATTCTCCTTTCTTTCATCCCTAGTCCATCCATGTCCTCTGCTCTAGCACTTTCAGTGATGGGCAGCCCACAGTGATGGGCAATCCATCCTATTGTCTTAGAGTTCCAAGTGTTGGAAAGAATACAAAAAATTTAACTTAAGTCAGTCTTTCAGTCACTTTCAATCATAGGTCATTCTCTGAGCTTTTACAGAACAAGTTCATTCTCTCTTCTATAAGATAGCCCTCCACTCTCCAAATATTGGCAGCTCATTAGCCCATGTCTTTAGGTCTTCTCATTACTGGGCTAAATATTCGCAGAAGGCTTAGCTGTTTTTCAAGCGCTGTGAAGATGTCTTATGGCATATGTGCCGTCCTCCTTCACATCATTTTTACCAAACTGCCTCTTGACTTGTCTGACTCCCAGTTGGACAGTGAGCAGCTGCCTTCCCTGATTGCTTTCCCTGGCTGTTGGCTTGTCAGTGGGACTCTGAGAATGTGGCCTTAGAATCAGGAAGGTTGCCTCACAGGTGGTCTGGCTGGTCTTGGTTCAAATATGGTGGATCCTTTGCTTTCTCTGCTTTGCTTACAAAAGTCATAAAAAATATAATTGAAGATCTTGTTGCTTTTTGCTGAATAAATACTGAAAGTTAAGTAACAGAGGCTAGTTACACAACACTGGTCAGAACCTGTAAAATCTTTTCTCTGTTTTGTTTTTTTCCTTCTTGTACTGATTTATAGACTACTTGCAAATATTCTTATTGGTTGTAACACTATGAGAGGGGTCTAGAATCCTGCCTACATTTACTTATAACAAAAGATGCCATGAATTTACTTAGGAATCTGAAAAGACTTGTTGCACTCATTCATTTTTTCAAAAATATTTGTTAAATGCCTGCTATGTCCCAGACATCTATTTTCAGTGCAGGGTAGAAAGAAGCAGCGGCCAAAACAAAGATTTTTTTTTTTTTTTTTTGCCATTTTAGGACTTATAATTCAGTGGAGGAACCAGATAACAAACAAGTAAACAGATGAACATAAGATATAGCACTAAGCAGTGACAAAATACTATGAAGACAAACAAAGTGGAGTCAGAAGATAGGGAACCTTGATGGACACCACTAATGTGATCAGAGAGCACTTCCTGAAGAGGTGGTATTTGGGCAGAGACTCAGACAAAGCGCAGGAGAGAGACCACTGGTGTGTGGGTAACTCTTCAACAATTGGTTCTCTAAAAAAATTAACAACAAATAAAGAAACATGTATATACATACATAAGTTGATTACAAATTTTACTGATCAAAAGATATATAGTTCACAGTTTATGAATAATAATAAAATATACAATACTCTTTATTATAAATTCTATTAGCCAATTAATTCTCCCAAAATGCTTTCCTTGATTTTTGCTGAACTCTTATAATCATTGCCAAACTATAATTTTTTTTTCTTGAAGAAGATTAGCACTGAGCTAACATCTGTGCCAATCTTCTTCTATTTTTTTTTTGTGTGTGTGTGTGAGGAAGATCAGCCCTGAGCTAACGTCCATGCCAATCTTCCTCTTTTTGCTGAGGAAGACCGGCCCTAAGCTAACATCTATTGCCAATCCCCCTCCTTTTTTTCCCTTTTCCTCCCCAAAGACCCAGTAGATAGTGGTATGTCACAGTCGCACATCCTCTAGTTGCTGTACGTGGGACGCTGCCACAGCATGGCCGGAGAAGTGGTGCCTCGGTATGCCCCTGGGATCCGAACCCGGGCTGCCAGTAGCGGAGCGTGTGCACTTAACCGCTAAGCCATGGGGCCGGCCCCCAATCTTCTTCTGTTTTGTATGTGACTGCCACAGCATGGCTGACGATTGGTGTAGGTCCATGTCCGGGATCTGAGTCCAGAACCCTGGGTTGCTGAAGCAGAATGCACCTAACTTAACCACTACACCATGGGGCTGGGCCCGCCAAACTATAATTTTACTTGACAAGAGTAGTTCTAACATGAATGTTGGCAGATATTTTTTTTATATTAATGAATAAAAAGAAGGTGACACAAGAGAGATGAATATCTGAATTTCACTCATTCATCAGTGGCGTGAGTTACATCTCTTCTGAATAGGATAATGGCTTTTGAATACTGGAAGAATATTTCCTCAAATTTTGTGCTAGTGTTCACAATGTAGTGGTTACAGACATGACACACTTTTGTGCTTAATCTGGATTATTAGCATTTTTTCCATCACTTTTTAAGTCTGGACGATCAAGAAAACAAAAAATCAGGCCCTAATTTGTAACACTGCCAATTTCTGTGGTGTAAATACTCCCACTATGGCCAGTTTTGGGCCACCAACATGAAGCCATTGAACCGTGGAATTGGGAAGAGCCGCACATAATAGTTCCACCATATAGATACAACAGACATAAAGAACCTCAAGATCACAGATAACGGCAAATGGAGCAAAATAGTTAGGAAGTTTTGAGTATTTATTACTTTTGCTTTCAATATAATTTTTGAACTGTAAATTAACAACTGTCTCACAAAATTCCTGAGAATTTAACAACAGGAGAGCTGATCTGAGCTGGCTCCAGCACGCTGCAGAGTGAGACCTATGCATATTTGAGGGAAGAACATTCCAGGCAGAGGAAGCAGTGTGTGTGAAGGCCCTCAGGCAGAAGCAGGCTTGATATGTTAAAGGAAAGCCAGCAGATCAGGGTTGTGGGTACAGAGTGGACCTGAGCGGGGATGTGAGCAGTAGAGACAGTGGGGCCAGATCAGAAAGGGTCTTTGTGCCTGCTGCAGAGGCCACTTTAAAGGGAGTGAGAGTGACCCACAGAGCTCCATACCCTCCAGGTGAGGCCACACTGCATTCGCACACACCACCCTTAGCAGCTAGGCAGAGCCCCTAATCAGCTACTTTGAAGGAGCCACTTACTCTCCTGGCCATCACTTTCTTACCTAAGATAAGGAAGTTGGACTAATGTGACATTTAAGCTTCCTTCCAATTCTAACAATCTCTGAATCTGGATAAGGCTTCAAATCCTTTTCTTAAAATGAATGCAGTGGGTCCTCCTGCCTACTGACTGTCAATGTAGAGGTTCCTGGGCTTTTGCAGCAGGTCCCCCATGTTGACATGATTATGGTTAGTTTTCCAAACACTGCATCTTCTACATCTCCTACTTGCCCCTGAATTTGGTGGCCTGCTTCTGCAGCTGTCTTGTAAAAAACCCAGTGACTTTCTTTTTCCAGTTAAGCATTTGGGGACAGTGGGGAGCAGCCACATTCATTTGCAATGTTGTCGCCGGCTGGCATTCCAGTTTGGGCACCTACTCACAGTAGCTCATGTCACTGTCACTCTGAATGAACAGGTCCCCAAAGACTGAGATGCTTGGCTGGGAAAAGGCTGCAAGTAGGGAAACAGACTCAAGGAACTTATTGAGTACTGTTCTTGCATCTCCACACTGATTGTCCAGACCACTTCTACATTAGGAGCCAAACGGCTGGGTATTCTTTAGATTAAGATGGAGGATGCTTGAAGATATCACTGGGGAAAGTAAACATCCATGTGTTGATTATGACCAACTCCAAACTCAAGAGATGAAGCACATAAACTATACCCTGTGACTAAGGAACTTCCTGCCTCGATAATGATCATAATTTTTAGAAACTCCCATAAGTGTAGTGGTTAAGATTTTAGGCTGTAGGACCAGACCGCCTACATTTGAATTCCAGTCCAACCACTTCTTGGCTAAGTTATCTAAATGACAGTGAGTCAGTTTTCTCATTTTTCAATGCAAGGTGATAGTAATAGTAACTACCTTGTCGGGATGTTATTAGAATTAGATGTATTAATTAATAACATGGTAGTTTTAGAAGCACCATCATACCTAGGATTTCATTTTCTCTTTAGAACAACCCCTGTTTTAGTCAGTTTGGGCTGTTGTAACAAAAATGCCAAAGACTAGATGGCTTAAACAACAAATATTTATTTCTCAGAGTTCTGGAGGGTGGGAGGTCCAAGATGAAGGCACTGGAAGATCCAGTGTCGAGTAGACCCACTTTCTGGCTTGTCGATAGCTGCCTTCTCACTGTATCTTCACATGACTGAGAGAGCAGGCTCTGGTCTCTTTCTCTTCTGGTAAGGACACTAATTCCACCATGGAGGCCCCACCCTCATGACCTAATCACATCCCAAATTCATCATCTCCAAATTCTATCACATTGGAGGATTAAGGTTTCAACATAAGAATTTTGGGGGGAATTCATAAACATGAATTCTATAACAATATCCCTCTCTGAAGAAAGTTTGCTGATAAGGCCACCTCCATTTCTTAGGGCTCAGCATAGCCTGACCTACTTTTCCCAAAACTTCAGGCATTTGTGAACTATTTTTTAGGATTTTTGCCATTTGTGTACTAGAATTCCACCTCTGGAGCTGGCTTGCCTGAGTTTGATTTCTAATTTGAATTATTTAACTACTCGCATATCTTTGGGGAAGTTACTTAACCTAACCAGGCCTCAGTAACCTCACTTGATGAAAGGGGATAATAATAATAATGATAATTATGCTCACTTCATAGTAAAGTTGAGAGTTAAATTAAGTAATCTTCATGAAGTTCTGAGGCGCTTAGCATGGTGCCTGACAATTGGTAGCACCAATCATCATCACCACCAACATCATCATTACCGACATCATCATCCTCAACATCATCATCCTCATCATCATCAACATCATCATCATCATTATCATCACAACCGTCATCATCCTCCCATGAGAGAAGGAAACAGAACCTCAAAGAAGTTAAGTGACTGGACTAAAGAAAGGCACTGAAGCAAAGGGCTTGGGTAGTTAATGCCCCACGTGGACAAGAAATGCTTCTGTGTTACACTCTGTGTGGTAATGAGTACTTTGGTCTTCATTGTTTGAAAGGAGCAGAGTGGGTGAAAGAGAAGGGACAAATCCATCCATTCACATGACCTGTAGCCTTTTTCATCTGCCTGTATGAATATTGGTTTTGCTTTGCCATAAGATTCTGCCAGCTTGTTTTGTTTCCAGAGCTGGGTCATTGTCTGGGGAGGTGCTAGGTGTTGGGTGGGGCTGGTGGCTCTGTCCTCTCTGATATTAAAAATCCATATATCGGGCCGGCCCCGTGGCTTAGCGGTTAGGTGCGCGCGCTCCGCTACTGGCGGCCTGGGTTCAGATCCCGGACGCGCACTGACGCACCGCTTCTCTGGCCATGCTGAGGCCGCATCCCACATACAGCAACTAGAAGGATGTGCAGCTATGACATACAACTATCTACTGGGGCTTTGGGGGAAAAATAAATAAATAAAATTAAAAAAAAAATCCATATATCTAGTAGTGTTTGCTCTGCATTTTGATCAACAAAATACATCCACTTTGGTAGCTATTAATTTGCATTCTGACATCTGCAAATGTGGCCCCTAGAACTTGAGAATCTGATGTTGAAGTCATTAGAGATTTTTGAGTAATAAATACCTTAGTACTATCAAGAGGCCCTAAATATAGAGGTCTGGTGCCGTTATTGCCCAAACCACGAAAGCTGGGAAACCTTGGGCAAGTCACTTACATTTAGAGTGGCTCAACTGAACAAAAAGTAAAATGAAATACATAATACCTACTTTCTTGAAGAAAATTCTAAATCAAATCATCTGTTAAGGTCCATTCAAATCATTAAGATAAATGATTCTAATGTAATTGGAAGAAATGTGTGGAAAATGAATACTTAACTAGTGTAGGACCTTATGATGACAATCTTTGTGGGCTTTGATAATTTGAGAGGTCTGGACTTCATCAGAGATGGCAAATGGATTTGATTTCATGTGACAACTCCAACAGATGCTAGTGGATTGTTTTTGAAGCTGTTCGGTTAGGGATAGAATGCTGTCATTGATTATTTTTTTTTTTATTTATTTTTTTAAGATTTTATTTATTTATTTTATTTCCCCTCAAAGCCCCAGTAGATAGTTGTATGTCATAGCTGCACATCCTTCTAGTTGCTGTATGTGGGACGCGGCCTCAGCATGGCCGGAGAAGTGGTGCGTCGGTGCGCGCCCAGGATCCGAACCCAGGCCGCCAGCAGCGGAGCGCGCGCACTTAACCGCTAAGCCACGGGGCTGGCCCTGTCATTGATTATTAATGTCTGCTATGTGCTTAGGAGGGAGCCGTTTGGATGTGAATGCCCAATATTTTCCATCCATGGCCTACATGATATTGAGGGGATCATCTAGCTGTCTAATTATAGACTACCCCGCCATCACTTAGATCTTAGTACTATTATTGTCTTTTTCCAATCAATTACTGGTGCTTATTTCTCTGTTTCCAAGCAGCCCTCTCTACAGCTTCAAGTTAGTGATTAAGTCTCTAAGTAGCTATAACTCCTGTAGTCTCTCTTTACCTAGAAAACCCAACACTCTTAGGCACCACGAACCCTGTACATTGCTATTTCTCTAGCTTTCCCAGTTTTCTATTGGTATAAAAGAACAGCAACATTTATTTTGCTTACAAATCTGTGATTTGGGCAGGGCTCTGGGGCCAGCTTATCTCTGCCCTACTCGGTGTCACCTGTGGGTGGATCAAAGGCTGGGGGCTGGAGTCAGGTGAAGGCTTGCTCACTCACATCTCTTGGGGTTGATGCTGGCTGTTGGCTGGGCTGTCTGTTGGCCAGAACACCTACACAGCTTCTCCATGGGCC